ACTAGGGAAGCGTGGCGTTCCCACGCCCCCCAAAAACATACACCAGAGAAGAACCCCAATCAATGGGTGGTTTGACGTGGGATCGATACAGAGATCGATAAGGAGATCGACCGGGAACCCGGGAACCCGGAACCCACCGACATCGGACCAGAACCATGCAATGACCAGGAACCCGAGAATCCAGAACCGGGAACTTTGGAACCCAGCCGGCCACCGAAATCGGCGGGAAATGTTCGCCAAAGTGTTCGATTTCTGCTCGGACACTTTCAGTGCAAGCACTGATTGGGGAACAATTGACGTCCTGGGATCTCAGGGCTGGGTTTCTTGGGGAAGGTTTCTTGTGGCAGAGCTCCTGCTGTAGCTCTAGGGCTATTTGATAGGGGCACGAGTAGATGGGGGCGGAGGATCGCGCCGCATCGCCGATGCATCGACGATGCAGCTCGATGCGAAGCCCGATATTCACCACGCCGAAGTCGCCGATGCGTCGCCGACATTGGCGATACGGCTCGATCCCCATCTACTCGGAACCCACATGGGTGGCCTCCAGTAGCCCACGGCGGCCCCCCACCCTCGGTGCCCCACCGTGACCCCCCAGCGTGGCCGTGTAGATCGAGCAGAGGCGAAGCGTCCATGGCAGGCCCTCCAGCGAATGTGCTGAGAGCCTTTTCTCTCGGAAGCTGAAGCATGTACATTACCAGTGGCGGGCCGTTCATGTGGCGCATATTGTTTTAAGCCGTGTCGCGGGAACACGACGAAAACTGTATACACCAAGGTCCCGTATACACCAGGATCCGTTTCCCTGGGCAAGTGCCAGTGCAGGGCCGGAACAAAAACGTCGGTGTATGTAGAGTTCGGGTTCCTACCAGTTCTGTTTTGCATGGACGAACATGTCTTACAGAGACTGCCTTGTCCTAACACCTCGGCTTGATGTTCTAAGAACTCTGCTGATGTTTTTTGGAACGCTTTGTTCTGAGAGGATTCGTGGTAGGTCTATAGGAATGCTGGGACAGTCGGCCCCTGTTCATTGTTCGGGGTCGTCTGCCGCAACGGTGCCACTGGGTCTGCCATCTCCCGCTTTGCGCCGAATTGGGCCGCCCACAGACCTGACATGGCAGGACGGGGCGCGGCGATGTGTCGGCGATGTTGATGGGCCTGTCTTCCACCACCTCCATACGTACGTTGGAGGGGGAAATCAGCAGGAGGACGAGGAGGAGGAGGAGGAGGACGGAGAGGAGGACGAGTACGAGGAGGACGGAGAGGAGGACGGAGAGGAGGAGGAGAAGGAGGAGGAGGAGGCCCTTTCCTCCTCCAATTTCTGGTGGTGGTGGTGATGGTGGTGGTGGAAAGCAGGCCCATCAGACGTGCCGTCGGTGCGGCGCGAGCCTCCGACCCCCCCACCTGCTCGCCCCCCCTCTGGGAGGCCTCTCTGCTGGCAGCGGCGCGAGAGAGGGGCGCACAGAGAGGGCCTCCTCCTCCTCCTCCTCCTCCTCCTCCTCCCTCCTCCTCCTCCTCCTCCTCCTCCTCCGCCTCCTCCTCCTCCTCCTCCCCTCCTCCTCCTCCTCCTCCTCCTCCTCCTCCCCTCCTCCTCCCCCTCCCCCTCCGCCTCCTCCCTCCTCCTCCTCCTCCTCCTCCTCCTCCTCCCTCCCTCCTTTTCCCCCTCCTCCCCCCCGTCCCCCTCCCCCTCCTCGTCCCCCTCCTCGTCCCCTCCTCGTCCTCCTCCTCCTCTCCTCCTCCTCCTCCTCCTCCTCCTCCTCCTCCTCCTCCTCATCCTCCTCATCCTCCTCATCCTCTCTCCTCCTCCTCCGCGCGCTCCTGGGCCGCGGCCGACGCAGGTACCGCCCGAGCTACACGCCGCCGCCGCAGCCCGGGAGGGGAGGGGCGCCACCCCTGGCACGCCAGATCGGGGGCGGCAAGGAGGGGGGTGATGACTAGGGGGGGGATCCAGATTTCATGGCGACTCTTCTTGGTTCATTACGTCCCCGCCCCGCCCCCTGGGCAGCGCACATGCCGACGGCCATGATTTGCGCCCCCCCCTCTTGAACGCCCCCCTCTTGGCCGAGTTGCTCCATGCCTCCCTCGGATTGAAGCAGCTGGGGTCGGAGGATCGCGCCGCATCGCCGATGCATGGCCGATGCGGCTCGATGCGGACGAGCCCGGCTCTCTCCATGCCGACGGCGCCGATGCATCGCCGATCCGGCGCGATTCTCCGATCCCATCGAACTTCGGCGGCGAGCGAGGGGGGGAGTGAGAAGGGGCCGGCCTTCTCAGAAGGGCGGGCCTTCTGAGAAGTTCTCTAAGCCTTCCCCGAAGACACAGACAATTTCTCAGAATGCCGGAGGGCTTCTGAGAAGCCCCGCCGCCTTCTGAGAAGGCCTTCTCCTTATTAGTTCCCCCCCTCGCTCGCCGCCGATCTTGAGGCGGGGGCCGCTGTGCCGTCGCCGTCTTCATATTGCAAATGCTCGGTTTGGGGGGAGAGCCTTCCAAATACTGCACTACAGAAAGTGCCTCGCGAGTTCACTGTTCTCATGCTTTTAACGGGGCCACAACTTCCCACACTGAGCCTTCCATCTTTCGTGACAAGGAGTAGTATGGTTAATCATATGTATCATGAGGCATCATGATTACACGAGGTGACCGTGGCTTGGCGATGCTTCAATCATCGGTGTTGTAGTGATCAGCTTGTGATTGAGTAATCGTCGTAAGGGAGCAGTGCGGAACTTATATGGTGTGTGTGTGGTGTGGTTGGGAGG